CCCCCCCCCCCCGATTTATATCCTGCCTTTTTCCCTCAAAGGGCTCGAGGCAGCTTACATCATTCTCCTCCTCCATCTTATCCCCACAACAACAACCCTGTGAGGTAGGGTGGGCTGAGCGTCTGTGACTGGCCCAGAGTCACCCAGTGGGCTCCATGGCCGAGCGGGGACTCGAACCTGGACCGTCTGAGTCCCAGTCCCGTGCCCTTCACCACTGCGCCACACCAGCTCTCACTGTTGCCCTCCCTATTGCAGGAATGCCTCTGACTTTGAACCTGGTCAGTTTGCTTTCTGTTGTAGCTGAAAACGCCGGGCTCCCAAGAGCAGTTTTGTGTTTTGGGGCTCAGGCGTGCGGCCTCCTCCGCCTTTTCCTAAGATTTAGGGGCAGGATGGCTCTGCTTTTGCCTTCCTGTTCGCTTCCTGGGTAAGGGGCGTTTGGTGACTGGCCATTCCCTGTGGCAACTATTTGTGGGGCAGGGGGGTGCCCACTGCCGTCTCAAGTTCTGAGCGTGCTCTCCGGAAGGGTAGCCTCTAGCGAAACCCTGGCTCGTGATAGTGCAGGGCCGGATTGGGCGTCCCTGCCTGGAAGTCTAGCCCAAAGCACGGCCTCCGCATGAATCCCGCAGGCAGATTGAGCTGCATCTGTCTCCCCCGTGATCTTTCAGCCTGCAATAGCGGGGCAGAAATCCTGACCTGCTTTACAGGGGTTATTTTAAGGTGAATTCAGATGTGTGTCATGGGCTTGGATGCTATTATGATGAATAAGGAAACATCTTTTTTCCCAAACCAAATCCCAACCCCCTCTGCTAACTTTAAAGAAAAGTGGATCCTGAAATCAACACCCTTAAGGCATGAGAAAGAGAACCATTGTTTGTATTACCTTGCACTTGTGGAGCTCTTCACCACAGGCATCTTGAGGGCTAGTAGCATGAAATGACTTTTTAAAATGGAATATGCAGAGCAGAGATCTCTTGGTGGTTGCTAGCCATGATACCCAGAAGCGTATCATGCCCAGAGATGGTACACCTCTCTGAGAGCCAGATCTGAGAGAACAAGGCAGTGGGAGGAGGGCTTTAATTATGCTTTTGGCACTGATTAGCAAGATTGGCACGATTGTAGACTGTAGTTCTTGTGTGAAGCTCCTTTCATTTGTACTCATTTCTTTTTGATTGGCTGATAGCATTTATTAAAAGGTTTCCCATTTGCTGCTTTCAGGATGCCAGACCCAGACTTCACCGTGCGGGACGTCAAGGTCCTTGTGGGTAAGCTATCTGAGAAGGTGATTGAACTAGAAATGGTGGGCTTCATATTCTCAGAGACCAAAACCTGTTGGAGCAGCATCCAGATCTTTTGGGACACTGACACAAACTCGGCAATGCGACAACAGTGAGCCCGCATACCTTATGTGATCACAAATAACCTGTGTCGGTTGGTTGCTTACCTGCCTTCACATACTTGCCTTTAAATTGAGTCTTCCTGATCGGTGGCTCTGTTAGATGTTGGGGGACAAAGTGGAAAACATCCTTTTATTTCATGCTCATGAACTCCTTGGAAATGGCTTGCTGGCCATGGTAGGAAATGGAATACTGGGTTCTGTGGCCTGATCCTGCAGGGCATAACTTGAAAGTCTTCATCATTTGTGGTGTGTTAACTGGAAAGGGGAGAGGAGTCGGGGGAGAACATCTCTTGCACTTCCTGAAAACTTCACTGTGCTGTCGCCTGGAGGCAGTTTTTACTCACCCTAGGTGAGCAGGTGTATAGCTGTGGGCATAGCATATATGCTGGCGTTTGTGCTTATGACAGTTTGTGCTTATGACAGCTACTTGGCCACTGCATTTCCTCCTCAGGGTTGTCCGAGGGTCACATCAGAGCCGTGCTTGGCTCGGAGTTAATTTCACAGTGGGTATGTTTTGTTTTATCTTGGGAGGAGGTGGATTCTTCCCATATGGATCTGTGACCTTTTGCAGCTGCCTTGTGTGTGTTTTAAATGTAGTATTCCTGATGTCGGTTTGCAGTATTTATTTCTTAAATGTATGAAACCTGGGCTGGATTCATTATTTCTGGGGTATGTATGCATTTGTCTGCATTTCAATCAATACAGAGTTTTGTTTATTCCATTCTTCAACTAGAAAAAGGCCCCTGGTCCATCTTGTAATCAGTCAGGAAACAAAATAGCCCCTGGGCTTACAGTATAGAAATGGCACAACACACAAGGAAAAACAGATGGGGAGGGAAGAGGAAAAGACATATTCATGCATACCTAATTCTTCCATTAGCCATGTTGCTGCACTGAAGTTCTCCCTCCCTGCTTTTCTTGTGCACTTTGAAGATTTCACCAAATACTGTTTGACCTATTTTTTCAGTTATAACAAAACACTTGCTTTTTTTAAATACACGCCCTTAATTTAGATATTCTCTGAAGTCTGAATTCTGTGCACTTATGTATGTCACTTACTTTTCAAAGCTGCCACCTGCTCTGCATTCATAAAATCCCCTGGGCCAAATAAATAACATCAAAAATGAACAAAAGCCATATAAAACCATAAACCTGGGGCGTGATCGTCTGCATATTTAGAAGAAACTCCTGCATCTCCCAGCATTCCCCAGCCAGTCACGCTGGATTGGCTCCTGCATATTTATAAATCAGATTACTCTAAAATTCATAAAGGTCTGGCCGGAAAGAAATGTTCTATGCACTTACACAGCACATTCTGCTCTAAGTATAAATCTCTCTCCCTCCTGGTTTATTTTATTTATTATTTATTAATTAAAACATTTTTATGCCGCCCCATTCGCCGAAGCCTCGGGGCGGCTTACAACAATAAATTAAAAAATTATAATATTAAATTAAAAAATATAAACATTAGATTAAAAATACAAAAATACAATATAAAAGAAGCTACCCTGGCCATATAAAATCCAATAATATTAACAGTTAAAATGCCGCTTAAATAAAAAGGTCTTCGCCTGGCGCCGAGAAACAAATAACGACGGCGCCAGGTGGACCTCTCTGGGGAGCGCATTCCATAACTTAGGCGCCACCGCAGAGAAAGCCCTCCTCCGAGTACCCACCCTCCTAATTTCTTTCACGGAGGGTTCCCGGAGAAGGGCCTCTCCCGCCGATCTCAAGGGGCGGCCGGGCATATATGGAGGTAAGTGCTCCTTCAGGTTGTATATACAACTTAGCGTGACCAGTGCTACTGCATCGTGGGAACATACCTTTCCCATGATGCACTGTTGGAGGCTTTGTGCTGTGGAAAGAGGAGGTGGGCTTGAGGTAGGGATTTGAATTTGGGGCTCCGGCAGCACAGAGTACCTGGCTTTCGGCAAAGAGAGTCGGTGTGAGACCTTCCAGATGTTTTAGCCTGCGGCATTGCTGGCAAAAGATGCAGGAGCTGCTCTGGCCTGCAGGGCTCCCACCTGTGTTGATCTTGATGTAGGGAGAAGGCCAAGGACTTGCTCAGGTCAGAAACAGGCCCCGTTGCTGAATCTGCTGGTGAGAGTCTTTGGAAGAATCTGTTTCCTTCCGCAGAATTCTTAGATGTTCTGTCTTCCTCTCTTTCTTTTAAGGAAGAGAAAGGGTTTATGGTTGCTTGGGAATCCTTGTGTGCCATCTGCGATCTCGGAAGGAGGGAGCCAGCTAGGGGCGCAAAGCGCTGCTTTTGCTGTTGTTTTCTTTGCCGCTTGCATCGTGGGAGCCTTGAATTGCAAGTACTAAAAAAAGATGCCCGACCCAGCCGTGCCGGAGCTTTTCAACAGGGAAAATGGGACACGTTCATTCTCTGTTGAATTAATATTCTGGCACAGGCACTGTGGATGGGAGGGAGATGCAACTTTGCAATCCCACACGCCAGGGATGCAGCGAGGGGAGGGAAGCTTCCACCCTGACAGCGGAAGGATGGGCGAGAGGGAGGATCCCTGCCTCGCTCGGTAGGGGCTGTCACATCCAGAGAGTGGCCACAGAGAAATTCAAGAAGGCTCTTCCCCGGTCTGGCTTGTGGCTCAGCTTGGAGTGAGCCAGTCCGAGTCCACCGGTGCCTCTGCCACGGTGATGCAAAGTTTGTTTTGCACCATTTCTCGTAGCCTGGGAGTGCGGAACCTCACGCACGGGGCCCCCAGTCTGGCCCTCTGGGGATGCCCATTTGCGGTTTCTGGGCTTCTGACCTGTTTTCCCCACTTTGAAAAAAGTTGAAAAGCCTCCCCTAAGACTTTGGGACAAGCACGAAGTGCTTTCGGCTAAAGTAAGAGAGTAGTTTGCCTTGGGCTCCACCAGCCATCAGGTCTGCCGCCTGAGAGCTTAGGCCGAAGCAGGTTCTGCTCCTGTGCTGTACTCCCTCGGCTGGTAAGCCCAGGGTTGTGCTCTTTAAAATGTATTGGAATGGCTTGGGTACAAGGTTGCTTTATGTTTTATTTACCGTATTCTTGAAAGGATTTTGAGAAGGGGAGCAAGGCGATTTGCTATTATGCTTGAATGTCCTATTTACGCACGGCACCGTCAGTGGATCGGACCCTTGAAGGAGTGTGAGAGAGTAGGCCTCTGCCCCAAGGAGTTTACAGGCTGCTGTTCAGTGCAGGGGAAACATCAGGTTGGGGGGAATGGAAGTGGGGTAAATGGGAGCACGCAATCAAAATGCAGAAACGCAGTGGGGCAAAATGATAGCATGCCTTCAATCAGTCAAAACAGCTGCCAACAGAACATCTGTCTAGAAGCTAGGATCGGTTAGAACCAATTAGTCACATCCATCTGGAAAGGATTATTAAAACGTAATATATTATTTTTGAGTGTGCATTCCAGAATGACAGAGAGAAAGGACTAACTGCTAAGTAGAAAGGTTGTAGGGTTGAGAAGTACAAAGATGATCGGGCAGATAAGCTCCAGAGCACAAGGAGAGCACGTGTTCTCCAAAATATCAGTCTGCAGCATGATAAGATCAACCCAGAATGCTTTTGCCTGCTGAGCGCCCTCACCTAGTATAGTCTTCTCCCTCCATGTACAAAAGGTCTGAAAACATGCCATTTTGTAGAAGAAACCAGAACACTAGATTGCATCCAGAAGCGTTGCCACACTACGGTTTAGTTTTACAAGAAAGAGTTGAACGTTGCTTTCTGGCAGGAAGGAAGGGTGGAAGGAATTGTAGTCCGTCACATCTGGAGTGTGCCAGCTTGAAGAGGCGGTGGTTCGATTTTTCTGTCTTGCTGGTGGATAAAGTGCGAGCGAGCTTGACAAGGGCCACGGTGTGTGCGTCAGGCCAGCCTGAACCCAGATCTCCCTGCTCTGAGTTTGCCAGTTGCATCCGCTGCGTTCTCACTGGGGAAATGGCTCAGCACAGGCAGGGCCTGAGCTCTCGGCCGCTCCGCAAAGAACGTGCAGTTTGTCCTAAGGTCTCTTTCTCCTGCTCTTAGGATCAAGTTTATGAGCGTACGCCTCCAGTCCGCAGTGGGGAGCTAATGGTGCCCCTAGTCTTTAACCAGCCCCAGTAATTGTCCCTTCCTTTGAATGGTGGTGTCCGGAGGAGGAGGCCTTGAGGCCTCCTTGCTTTTGAGAAAGCTCCCGTCCTCTCCTCTTCCCTGATGCTGATCGGAGTCTTCCTCTAGCTTCCTTGGCCCTGATCCACGTGCCCAGTAGCATGCAGGGGGCTGGGAAACCCAAGGGAAGCACTGCCCTGGCAGGCCGCTCTAAAGATAGTAACTAGGCCAGCACCTCCCGCCCTGAGATGTCCTCTCTGTTTGCACAGCTCCCTGGGCCCCAATCCGGCATCTCAGATTTCAGGAATTTGTGTGGCGGAGGAGAATGGCTCGCTGCTGAGCTCACGGACGTGCAAGCTGCTTCCGCTGCCCGCCGGCCCCCCGCAGGTGCAGTGCTGCAGGGCCCCCGGATCAAGCCGGGATCGGGCTACTGCGGGGGTGCAGGGGAAACACCCCCAGGCCTTTCTGTTGGAGTCCTGCTGCAGCACAGAGGGGAGCTAATCCCACAGTTGCCGCTCGGCCTCTCTTCCAGTGCTTCTTCTCTGCTCGTCTTATTTCTTTCCAGCTGCTTCCAAAAACAACGTCTCCCACGCTGCCTAAAATGTGGGCTCATCTACTGTTCCGTTTCACAGCCAAAGGAACCCACTGCTCACACTCTTGATGCCGCTGTGGCATATTCCTGCCCACTGGCCTGTCTCCTGGCAGCTCGGCAGCTGCAGCCGGTCAGCTTAGAATAAATCGCCCTTTGCATTTCGTGTCCGCTAGCAGCCTCACCTTTTCTGGTTCGCGACTGTGTGCATCGTGACACGTTGACGGAGGTTAAGCATCTCTGTTTTGCCAGAGTTTTGCGTACTTTCTGGGGAGACGTAGCTCGTTGCACTTGGGTTCGGTGGGTATGCGCTGGGGCACGCTGCGTGTATGTGTAAATTATACATTTAAGCTCACCCTTTGCTTTCATGGAAGATCACTGATGCCTTTTCGCTCGGATCAATATTGGATCAATCGGAGAGAGGACAGCGTGAAGCGGTGTGCTGTCGCTTGGGTCCCCAAGGAAAAGAAAAAGGGTTTCCCATTGCCCAGTAATGGCTGTGGTGGACCACTGAGAACAGAAACGCTCACGGGAAAAGGATGCTGTTGGGAAGGAAGGCCCTGTGGGCCTGTCCATCCGTCAGTGGCTGCTTTCAGGGCCCGTTGCAAAGTGATTTCCTGGCTCTAACAAAAAAAGCTATCACAAGGATGTTTGTTGCAGCAGAGGGGTGTGGAGGCCAGAGTGTGTGGGTCAGGCTTGTGAGTGGGGATGCCTGAGTTTCCCCAGGTTTTGGCAGCTGAAGAATACTGAAGTCTTCCCCACACGCCAGAATGAAAATGGGAAGTTCTGCTTCTGTAGAACGCCAAAGGTCTATTTTTAGAAGGAGTAGGTGTCAGAATCACCGCTCCTTCTGTATGAGTCACCTAGGCTTGCCTCCCGGCAGATGGAGGCGTCCTTTGAGCAGTGACTCATGCAGAGAAGAAACAGGTCAGGAACATTATACTGGATCTTCGCATGGGGGGAACTGAATGGCCCAAAGGCACCCGATGAAGGGCTGTGGCAGAATTACTTGCCGTGCCGCTGCAGCAAGCAGATCAGAAGGAGGCTGGAACTCAGCGGGAGAGACTCCGTCTCACATGTAGGAGGCCCCCAGTCAATTCCTGGCATCTCCAGAGAGTGCTGCATTGCTGCCTTGAGAAAGATGGACTAATCCCTCTGTGTCCTGTTGCAGCGGCAGCTGTCCGGGCTTGCTGGAAAGAGGAGAAGCCCGAACAGTTTACTGTGCAGAGTGACAGCAGCCACACTCCTCCTCGGGTGGGCACAGACCTCTTAAAAATGAACACGTTACCTGGCCAAAGATGTGCATGTGACAGACTAAGGCAGCCCAAAGTATTTGGGGGGCACCAGGTTGTTTGGCCTTCCTGGAAAGGTTATCAAGCAGGCTGGAGCCCCCCTTCTCCACCTTGCAGGGCGTGAGCTTGAGATCTCCCTGACTTGCTGCGTTTATTGACTTTGCAGAGAGTCAAAACTTGGTTGTAATTTTTCGTGGGTGAACTATTCCAGGGAGCCGCCGGATCGTGGACGTGATGGACGTGAACACACAAAAGGGCATTGAGATGAGCATGTCACAGTTTGTGCGGTACTACGAGACGCCGGAGGCCGAGCGCAAGAAGCTGTACAATGTCATCAGCTTGGAGTTCAGCCACACAAAGTTGGCCAACATAGTCAAGCGCCCCACAGTGGTGAGTTGTGCGTTCCCCTTGGGGCGGCAGTGGCGCTTGGGGGGGTCGGTTGTTTGTGGTGCTGCTGCTGGAAACCTGCCCCGTTCAGAGACTTCTGGGGGCCCAATTCCGCTTGCGTGTGCTTTGCTTCCTGGTGAAATGACCAGGCAGTGGCAAATTCAGCCACAGGAGGAGTTGCACAAGTGGCTGCGGGGGCTGCACCTGTGTGGACACCTGTGCACACAAGCGCGCGCACACACACACACACACACACCCTGCAGTAGCAGACGGGCCTCGGTAAGGTAGGCCTCAGGGCCCCCCGACCGAGCACTTTCTCCTGTTGGCAGGGTGGCTGTTTTGTGACCGACTTAGGAGGCTGTGCAGGGCACTTGCTTTGGTGTTGGGCAACTTGGCCAGTCCAGCTCCTAGCCCACGTTCAGCAATTAAACTCACTGGGCCAGTTGCTGACTCTCAGAGTGGCCTACATCGCAAGAGCGTTGTTAGAACAAAATGGAGAACTGTGTAAGCGCCTTTCCTTGTAGTTCCTTGCAAGAGGGAAAAAGCAAAGGCAAATGTGGCTGTGACCGCTCCTGACCTTGACTGGCCTTTCAGGTGGACCTGGTTGACTGGGTGGACAATATGTGGCCCCGGCATCTGAAGGAGCGGCAGACGGATGCCACCAACGCCATTTCGGAGATGAAGTACCCAAAAGTGAAGAAGTAGGTTGGTTTCGTTACTTTAAGGGCCGTAATCCCCAGTGCTGTCTGTCGAGGGCCGTGTGTGCAGAGCTTTGGCTGCTGGGGGGACTCGGAGCTGAGCGGTGGGACTGGCGGGGTGGCGGGAGGCCGCGGTGTCCATGTGCTGGCACTGGCTTTCAGCTTGGAGGGCTTTCTGGACTGGGGCCCTGGGAGCCGGGGCTGAGCGGGCTGGGGAGCCAAGGCAGAGATCGGGGGTGTCAGAAGCTGCTTTGCCGCTGAACAGTTGTGCTTGGACTCCGGAATGATTGTTCTTCTTCCTTTTCCAAAGTGTTGCTTTGTATTTCGCAATGTGGGATGGGACGGGGGTTTGTGACGACGAAGCTTCTGGCTGCCTACACATCTCGGGGCACTGGAAAATTGGAAGGGCCTCTGGCTGCGCTTGGCTGATTTGCTGTGACATCAGAGAAAAGCAGGGCAAGCAGAAGTTCCTTGCGCATGTTTCACTTTTGCATTATTTGTTCTTGAGTCAAGCTGAAGCCGGGCACTCGGACCCTCCTGAAGCCACTAGGAATCTAGCTGAGCTTTTGGCAGTGTCATTTCCAAATACAAGCTCACAGTCATAAGGCATAGAAACTTGATTTAAAGATTGCTGAAATGCTCAGAAAGGTATGTTATGTCCCCAGAACATATTTTGTGCGTTGGTCTGTACCCGCAGGGAATTGTGGCAGAGAAGCATCTGAACACTTGTCATGGGAAACAGTAGCGACAGGAGCAATTACTCTCGGGTGTTGCTTGCAGGTTTTCCAGAAATATGTGGCTGAGGAGAAACCGGGTGCCAGACGAGAACGGCTTTTGGTCTGATCCGGTGCCTCGCTTAGTATATTTTTATTTATTTATTTGGAGTTTTTATATCCTCTAGTCGCTCTCAGCAATCTGGCACGTTCCTATTTCTCGTTGTCAGTTTCTGTATCTGATGCTGGGCTGCTTCTCCTAAACGGCAGGCCGACCAGCAAAAAGACGGGGAATGGAGGACTGGGGCTTGTGCAGGCACAGATGGTGCTGTGAGATACAGATGTCAGGTTTGGCTCCCGCCTGCAGAGATCCGTGCTCGGCTTTGGAGGGTAGGAGTCCCTCCATCTGCTTCCCTGGTTCAGGGACGGTGCTTGACAAAGGCCAGAAGGGTTTGTGCTGTAACTCTGCAGCAATGCGCTGCCTTTCTTCCCTGCGCATCACCTCTCCCTGTCTGGACAGTTCTGAATATGTGCAAGCGATTGCTCCGGCCTGGGAAAAGCGGGCTGCCTGCCAGAGAGAGAGAGAGAGAGGCGAGTCCCGTGACCATCTGGCACCTCAGGCCTAACCATGGTTTGGTGCGCCGTGCGTGAGCCATGGAGAGCGCGTGCATGCGCTCCGGCCATCCTGCCTTCTCTCGGGTATCGCAGGCCTTCCTTTGCTCTGGCTCCTTGGTCGGCTGCTCCTGTGTGGTGTGCGCAGAGTGGGACCAGGCCCTGCTGTGTGGGCAGCCTGTGGTTTGTGTTGGCTGCAAGAGGAGGACTTGCACATGAGAATTGTGGTGTGTGAGGAGAGGGGGAAAGGGGAGGCCAGAAGCTCCCTTCTCACTCAAAGCCATGACTGAGTGTTAGCTTGCAGGCAGCCTGCCTGTGCATACCTGCCTTTTCTAGGATACACTGTAGGATGTTCCGGGCACAAGTGTGCAGTCTGCCCGCTTTCCTGTAGGCGCTCTGCTTGGGGGTGTTTTGTGTGGCGGCAACACCAATCCCTTGTGGAAGGGGGCCTGACCGCTCCCGCTTCAAAATCCGCTTCTCTCCTTTTGCTCCGTGTGCCCCAGATTTGAGGTTGGACTGCTTGAGGTACGTGCCTGCTTAGGGCTGGAGATGTGACTTTTGGGCAGAAAGCCCTGGACGAAGTGCCCGGGGGGGGGGGGCGGCCCCTTTGCGATCGCAGCCCTGCATACTCGGGAGCCCGACCCCAGCCGGTGCGCTGCGCTGGTTAGTGCGGGAACAGGGCTGGGGAGAGCTGTGTTTTAGTCCCTACTTAGCTGTGAAGCTCAGGGAGTGATTTTGGGACAGTCACGGACTCCCAGCCTAGCCCACCTCACAGGGATGCCATGAGGATTCAGCAGAGAAGAGGATGGTCATGTATCTCACTTGGGTTCCCTGGGGGAAACGGCAGGATATCAGTGTAATAAACACTCCCAGCACCTCATGGAGTCGTGCAAACCCGGTCAGCTTGGCTCGCCGAAGTGGGAAGCAATCCTCCAGTAGCCCCATGACAGCCCACGGGTTGCTGGCAGGTTGTTTCCCTGTCCACGAGCCATGCTTCCTGGGTTCAGATGAATGACAAGCTGGATCCGGGCAGTGATTGCAGAAATCGTACCAGCCACACGCAGCAGTTCAGCTAAGCCACTGCGGCTTGAATAAAACCAGTTGCTTATTTTGGTTGGGTGAGCCAGATGAGCCTCCCAGAGCAATGTCGGCGGCCTGCGCGTGCGAGTCAGCAAAGTGTGGTAGTCAGTTCTGTGCTCCCCTAGCTCTCATAGTCCCCTGCCTGCATGCCCCAAGGTTTGGAATGATGGGAGTTGTAGTCGAGAGCATCTCTGCAGTGCTGGGCGAGCTCTAGGTTGAAATCCCCCGTCAGCCATCATGATCACGGGACCTTTTCTCTCTCCATAACCCCGGCCAACCTCGCAGGTTGTTGTGATAATACAGTGAGGAGAGAAGTATCGTGTCTGCTGCCTTGAGCTCTTTGGAAGACAAGCGAGATATAAATGTAGGAAATAAACAGTTTTGTATGATGCGTAGCCTGTTTATTCCACATTCACATGTCAAGAAGCCACGAGTGACCGCAGCTTCCCAGTGTGTGATCCGCATCACAATTCCACGTGCCGATTCTCAGTCTTGGGAAAGCCTGGCGTGATTTACCTATATTCCTTCGTGGTACTTGATTTGTACCTCAACTTTTCTCTAAAACGTGGCAGCGGGTAGCGACACGAGTGACGTGGGAAGCAGTCGTGGCTTTCCCCACTCGCTTAGCTGAGCCCACAGTTCTTCCCCACAGGCCAGGCCAAGGTCTCCTGCTTTTTGCCCCGGCCTGCTTGGCGTGATGAAATGCAGGGAAATGCTGCCTGGTGCGACACGGGAGGAGGAGGCCGGAGCTGGGCCGCTCTTCTCGGAGCCTGGAAGTGCCACTCTGGGGCAGGAGACTGTGGGAGCCGGCCCCACCGGCCCCTTTCAGACAAAAAGAGAAAGGGAGGGAGGACGAGAAGGGAAGCACCTCTGCGTGGGGGCCCCTTGGCGGAGGTGGGGCGGGGAGAGCGTCCCGGCAGGACGCATCACGCCTCTCCTCCCGTCCTGTGGGGCGGCATTTCCTTTTTGGCTGGCTTTGGGTTACCGCGCCGTCCTTTGGGGGGTGAGTGTCGTTTTTGTCTGTGCCTGTGTGGAATGCGAGGGGCGGGCGGGCGGGAGAGCCCCGGTCCCAGTGCAGCGCTCGCTCTCCCTGGAAGCGTGGCGGTCGGTCCTCCCGTGCGGAGGAGACCCCGACCCGGCAAGCTCCCCTCCTCCATCTCTCGCTCCTTTCCCGAGTGAAGGCGAGAGGCGCGATGGGCAGGTCCGCTTCCCCTGCGCGGCCGGGCCGCCCTTGAACTGTTTCCGTGCCGCTCCCTTTCATTTCCCCTTGGAACGCTTTGGGGTCGCCGCCCCAGAATAAAGCCCATGTGCCCCTCCTCCCGGCCGTGGCCCCGCCCACATGCCACTCGGCAGCCGCTTTGTGGCCTCTGTTGTGCCCAAACTGGACCAGCAGCGTGCGGCTTGCTTTCACCGCATGCTTAAATGATTTTTTTAGCACCTTTATCCTGCCGTTCCCCAGAGGTGTTCAGGGCAAAGTACAAAGTTCCCTTACCTGCTTTTTGAAAATTCCCAGTAGCCACAGCTGTGGGGGAGGGGAAGCAAAGGGGAGGGTGTTTGTTTCAGGGAGGGGTCCGGGGGTCTTCTTAGCAGAGCAAGGGGTGCCCATTAGAACAGTAGTGCAGGGCAGGAACGCGGGCGATCCGGCTTAGGGTTGGAGGGCCTCCCACACCTTCCAGCATGCTAACTGGGGGATACTGGGAGATGCCGGTTTTTTCCTCCTTAATCGCATCCCATCTTTTCTTGCCTTGAACCTGCGTCTCGGGGCCTGTTAGTTATACACCTGCTTCTCGCTTTGCTCTTTCAAACCAACCCTGCAAGGTAGATTGGATGGGAAGTGCTTCTTTGTATTAGCGTGAAATACTAATGCTGCCTGGAGATAAATGAGACTCTTGCAAGACGAAGGTGGGTGTTCCTGTTGGATTGCATCCCCAGTGGAAAGTTGTGTTGGTCTGTGCAGAGAGGGACACACACCCGTGAGTTCATCTGTGAGTCTGAGAATTTCCCCCTTACAGATTGTGTGTTGGAGGCGAGAAAACAATGATATGAAACATTATTTTATTATGGGAAGAGTTTTGTCCACATCTGACACTGTTGTCCCTGTCTGTGAGAAACGTCAGATTTACTTCTAGCTCATATTTTGAGATTTGAAGCTCTTTCATTTCAGCTATTTTTTGGGTTTAAAAGTTAAAGATTAACAACAATTTGGTCCTTTGTTGCTAATTCAGCTCATGAAATCATTCCTTGTTCTGTGTGATGTACAGGGAAAAGGAGCACTTTGTCCAAGGGTGGAAATGTGGTTATGTTCTGGCTGGTGAATTCAGCAGTGTTTATGTCAAGCTACCGACTGCCCCGTGGGATGGCTCTGTGGGTTGCATCCCTCCTCTGAAGTGAGGCTACTGGCTGTTGGAATGTGCCCTTACACCGCAGGCACGAGCTTAGAAAATCGTGCGGCAAACCCCAGATTTGAAACGGTGTTTGTGGAACATACAAAAAGCCTTGCTGGATCAGAACCGAGGTCCATCTAGCCCAGCACTTGGCACGCGCGGTGTCAGGCCGGCTGAGCTGGGGTCCCCCAGGCAGGGTGGCTGCAAGACCTCC